CTGGCAAGAGGAAGCAGCCCTTGGCTGGCCAGTGCCCGCTGTGCTGTGAGCTTCAGCGTGGCAGCCGCTGTCTCCTGAGCTTTGGGACTAACCCACAGGCCCAGCTACCAGCGTTTCTTTGGCCGCTAGAAGCTTAGTCTTTTACAGTACTAATTCCTTTAAGTGATACCAGTGTGTGTGTGTATAAAGGTTGCTTAATCTCTGCTTGAAAATTTACTGCTTGTATTCCTGGATGAAGATATTCTCGGAATACTTATTTTCACATGAACCCTCCTGTGGGCAGTCTTTTATTCCTGAATAATAGACCTTTCTCCAGTCTAACATCGTGTACTTTCCAAGTGGAAGTCTCTAGTCTGCTGCAGAGGAAACGCTCTCTCTTACCAAGGCTTGTTAATTAACTGGCACCTATTTAAGGGAACTATTTCTATCTTGCAGTGTTTAAAGCATCATCTATCAGGAAGAGTTTTGCTTTAAAAAAAGAAAAAAAAAACAGGTTTGGTCTTTGATTTTTACAACTAATCCCTTCTGGTTGTTCTACGTGATTTAATTTTTCTTCCTGCTGCTCCTTGATGTGAAAAGGGAGCTCAGCGTGAGGAGCTGCAGTTCAAGCCGCCACGAGCGGGGCAGCTCCGCGCTCGCTGCCGGGAAGCAGCCGCCGTGCTTGGGATGCTGCCTCTCTGCTCCTCACTGCGCTGTTCTACGTGACAGAAAACTCAAGCAGCGATTTTCTTCCTGCTCTGTGTAGCCCCCGCTTCTGAGCAGCACTGTATTAATCTTCTGGCTGCCAATCTCCAGAGCTCTGGCCCAGGCGGGAGACACGTAGCAGGGCCGCGTAGCTGGAGCAGACAAAGCCCCTCGCCATCCTCTGTGGGTTTTGTCTATGTAACCGTGCAAGCCTTTCTACTCTGCCACCTCCTCGTTGCTCCTCGCTTTGCTTCACGTTGTCGTTTCCAGGTCATTTCGCTCGCCTCTGTCGGTGCTTTGTGCCCTCGGGAGCGCCGCTGTGCAGACCGTCTATCTGCTCGGAACGGATAGAGCCCCAGGGAGGGACGAACGAGCTTGGGGCAGCAGAGCTGCCGGAGCCGCGTTCTCGGAAGCCCTCAAGGCACCTATTGTCCTTCACCTTGAGCCAAGGTGCTCGTGTGGTTCCTGTGCGGGAGGAGGCAGCGCTTCTGCCTGTGTTTTCTGTCCTGCTTTGCCTTCAGTGGTGTCTGAACCCACCTGCTTGGCCTGCATCCTTGTCCCCACCGCGACAGCCAGCAAGCTGTGGAGCAGCCACCAGTGTGGAGCTGAGCCGAGGCGCTGTCAGTGGCACCGCTCGGATGCACCAAAGTGAGTTTCCCTTTCCAAAAAGGGTGTTGTCCTGCACCAGAAATGCATTGAAGGAAACTCACTTTATATTCAGGGTTTTGACCTGAATGGGTTCCATTTTTGACAGCAGCTGGATGTCTGTCTGTGGGACAACACGAATGCAGCTCAGACTGCATCTTCCAGCCCAGGAAGGCAGTGGAAGTTTGTGTCACTGTCTCACAACTAGCCCCGGTGCGGGATTTCTGAGCCCACGTGGTCGCTGCAGTGCAGACGGGCCCTGTCCGTTCAGCACTTCTTCATACCGGCCCACTGGTTACGTGAACCCTCTTGCCTTTCTCTCCTGCCTTGTGGTCATGTCAGTTCAAATTGAGCACCTGCTGTCTACCTTGGGTGCAAATGAAAAAGCTTTTGTATCTGTGATGTTGGGATCTGAGTTTTAAAATACAGCCCCGAGTAGTTGTTTGGCTTTAAAAAAAGGCCAGCATTTTGTGAGCATGGAGTCGCTGATTCCTTGTCAAACTCTTGTGCTGATTGGAGTGAGAATAGACTGACAGGATGCAAATACTTCTAGTTGTCCAGATAGCTGAGTGCTCGAGTCTGAGATCAGATACAGCGGGTCATTTTTCCTCAAAAACTTGATCCTGAAGGGAGCAACTCCCCTTTCTTCCTTTGGCCACTCAGTTATGTTCCTGTCCCCTTTATTTTAAATGCAGTTGGGGAGGATGGTTTGTACTGCTCTGTTACTGTTCTTTCATGGGATTATGTGTTCTGGTGGTTTTGTTTTTAATCCTCACTATAGCTTGTGAAGTAGTGCAGAAAAGCTAGGCGGGGATTCTTGCTATTCAGAAAATCTCAGGGTTATAGCAAAAAATACTAAATTGGGCCCGCTTTCCAGCTTGGTTCTCAGATCCGTGATCTGGAGCCCAAAATATGCACGACAAAGCCAAGATTCACAAGTATCTGATGTCTCCAAGACGTGAGCGTATCCCGGAGCGTGTTTCCAGGATTGCCTTTATTGCCTTTCATCTCTTTATAAGAGTAAGTGTGGTAACATGATGGTATTTGTTGTCAAAATATTGACTTCCTTGTGGCAGCCTCGTGCACGTTCTGGGCCCCAGCTCGGCACAGGAGCCCTGCGAGCGAGCCCATCACCGCTCCATGCGACGCTTACATGTTTAGTTAAGGTTTATTTAATTTGGAGCACATACTGGCTGTTGCATGTTGAAGCACACGTTTAAATAATTTGCTGACCCAGGGCCTCCATGCAGATGTGAATATTAAAATGAAAGCTCAGGTATCCAACCCAGGGTAGGAAGTTGAGATATTTCTCTTTTCAAAGCTTTCTGGAGGATTTAAGCAAATCTTCTGGGCAGGTATGAAACAACAGCACCAAGTGGTTGCTGTGCTCTCCACAAAGGCGCAGGGTGCCTAGACTGGGTGGTCTCACTGATTCCACCTGGACTGACAGAGCAGACTGTGCCCCTCACATGTGCAGCTGGTTTTAAGCTAAGAACTGTTTACAAATTGGAAAGTCCGAGTTCCAATCCTGTTAACATGAATCATCTGCATGGAAGACACGAACAAAACGTGTACATATTTTAGCAAGTGCCCACCAGGAGAAGCACCCTCAGCTGAGTTTTGCTCAGTGCTCACCAAAAGCATGTGAAGTCAGGCTGATAGTTTCCGCAGGAGAACTTGAAATATTTCAATGCAAGTCTTGCATTGAAATACTCTTTGAAATACTTCAATGCAAGTCAATTTGGTTTCTGTGATTAAAGCTGTAGAAGAAGATTGGCCAGTATTGGAATATGAAACAGGGAGTATTTTGTACCATTTTGAGTGGTACAAAATGAACTGAAAAATATAGACACATTCTTGCATTTTAATGTGGTCTCTGCTTTTGACAGAAAAGGAAACGTCCAAAAAGTGATGACAAAAGTGTAGCCACTGGGACCAGCTTGCTGATGCTCTAGACGGTGTAGGTTCCAGAAATAGGTTGGCAGTGATAAGTTGTTGTTTCCCAGCAGCTTTGGAGGACAGAGTATACTTGAAATAAATCTAAAGGGTAGGGTTTCAACTTGACCAGGTTGTATGCAACAGTTTATTGAGATTATTTATGATGTTGCAGCTAGGAGATGAAATGGAGAAATGTCAAGTGCTTGCAGCACAAGCCAGCACGATTTAATGCCCCCTCCCTTTTGCTTGGTAGGTCTTTTTTGGCTTCATGCCTGGGGCTTATTGTTGTAATAAAACATATTCACGTTCTAGGTGGTAAATGGAATTCGCTCGATAATTAAAACTACAAATAAAATAAGTTCATTCATCTTTTTTTCATTCCCAGCATAGTTTACATTCTTAGCACTATATATGGTATAAAAATGTGCACCTTGGGCTTTTTAGTTATTCATGGGATAATGGCTAAATTCATCAGCGAGAGGCTTGGGAATCCAAGCTGAGGCAAAACCACAGGAAAGCTGCATCCGAGCCGCTCCCTGGGATGATGTTTCCATAGTCTGTCCTGCGCTTGGAATTTTTGCCTGGTCTAAAGCCCATCTCTGGGATCTCAGACGGCTCAGAGGCCTTTCCACGTGTACTGTTGTTAGCAAAGTTCCTCAGTTGAGTAACCGTCTGTCTGCCCTCCCACACAGACACCTGAAGATGAGCTCATGTTGAAAAGAAAACAATTTGTTTAAAGAATTTGAAAGCCTCAAATGTGTCTTTCTGTGGCCTTCCAGTGTTTTTCATGTATTAATATGAAAGTCAGATACGTTCTTAGCAGGGGAGTCTGCCTGGCGCATTACAATTAGAGCGTTTGGCTTGGTGAGGATATTTGTATTTACGCAAGGGCTGCTCCTGCTGCTTGTGTTGCTGTGTGTGCCCTGAACCCGGGCAGCTGGGCACGGGTCAGTGGGGCACGGAGGGAGGAGGAGCAGCCGGGTTATCCCGGGTGAATCTGTTCTGCACGTTGTGCCTCTGCGTAGCCGTGTTGAACGAAGGCAGTCACATAACTGAGTGTGAGTAACACAGTGAAACATGGCAGTCCGCGTTTTCAGGGGAATGGTTCCCGCTGTTAGAATAAACTCATAGGGAATTAAATTTAAAAAATTGAAGACAACTTTGAAGTAAGCCATGAAATGGGGCTGGAGGGACCTTGGATTAAAAATTCCTGCGTGCTGCTTTATGAAGTATCTGTGATGGATCCATCTGTGATGGATCGTGGGGCCCTAGCGTCAGCGCGAGGCGGTGACGGGAAGGCGCCGCCGCTGGGATAATTCTGCATTATCTTTGTCTCACCTGAGTCTGCATCTCTGTGCTCCTGCCACTCTGCTGTAAATTGCACCTGGTCATTAATGGGGTTATTGATAACTCTGCCAAACAGGATTCCCGTGGAATTTACTACTTCCCTCATCGTCGCTGAGCGCTGCTAAGGGGCCTCGTGTGGACCGTGCAGGGCATCATGCTGGGCGCAGGCACCACAGTGAGAGCAGGGAGCGGCACCGTCCTGGCTGCGTGTGGCTGCCTTCTGCAACCCCCCTTGAACCTCCCTTCACCCGGAGGTGCCCCATGGGGACAGAGCAGAACCAGGAGAGGGGCTGGAGCGTGACACAGTCGTCGCTGCTGTTTATTTGGTAGGTGGGTGTAACTGTGTTATCCTGCTTCTTGCAGGCCGTGTTATTGCTGACAGCACTGAAGGCCATTGAGTGTCCTGCAGGAATGAGAGTAGATGTGTCTGCTGCGAGACCCAGGGATCATCCGTCACTGCTCCTTCAGTCCCACCTCCAGCTGAATCCAAATTGCTGTGTCCGGAGTATCGGATTTGGTGAGATGATCTCTGGCGTGTCCAATCTCTGTGTGATATTCTCTGGTGCTCGCTTCGGCTCAGATTTATACAGCATAAAGAGTCTTAATCATATCTGGGAGACATCGTGTATTATTTGCTGTAGCCTCATTCTGGAGCTGTAGCAAGGCATGAAGAGACTTGCAGCAGTGCCCATCTGATCTTTCAGCATGGTAACCAAGTTCACACTGAATAGCAGTGGTGCAGAGCTTTTCTCTGGGATTTTCATGAATGTGGAAATGTTCTAAGGCTATGAGGAGTCGGAGCAGTGACCGCTCATGTTCTTGTGGCCATTTCTCTAGCTTGTGTGAAGCAGCCCTTTGAGACAGGCTGCCCAACCATTCCTCATTCTGCTAAGCAGCAATTTTCTGTGACTGCAATTTTAAAATGGCATTGTGTTTTACTAGCACTTGGCAGAACTTCCTCTGGGCCTAAACTCTTAAAATAGCAGTCCCAGGAAAGCTCGTTCCTGTTGCAATTAAAAACAAAAACGAAGAAAGTTTGCAAGAAAGTGCGATGGTTGCGGGTGTTTTAATACAGCGCCTCCAAATTCCTGCTTTGAAGGCACGTTCCCACGCTGAGCCTCATCCGAGGCGCTCGCAGAGGAGCCCGGGTGGCTTTCGCAAGGTTGGTACTTGCTGGCTGCCGGGGAGGCTTTTAAAGGTGTTGCCGCTGCCCAGCAGCAGCGTCTCGCAGGGGAGGGTTACGGGCCTGCCCGGAGGGAAACCGTTCCAAGGCAGGAGCTGCCTCTCTGTGGCGCTCATTTCCTCACCCCGCTCGCTGTGCGGGTGCGATGACAGCACACGCTGGGCTGGGGTCACCGTCCTCCACCGAGTGACAAGGACAGATATTTTTGCCTTCAGAAAGACTGCAGGTTTCTCTGTTATGTGCCAGGGCTGTCTGGGGAGCGTGCAATTTCTTGTTGCTGGTGACAAACAGAGCATTGGAAATCAGCCTGCCAGAGAGGAAGAGTCCACAGCTCGTGATGCTGTGGCCGTTGTGCTGCTCAGTGTCGTTTGAAGGTACAGAGCGTGACGGCGGCCTCGCTCCTCAACAGCTCCGTTTGCCAAGGCTCCGACTGCACCCGCAACGTGTGGTGCCGTTGAGCACCATTGCTTAGGACTGCATTGGTTACAAACGCCAGGAAACTGCGCACTCCTTTACGGCCTCCGTCTCTTTGCGACCTGTGTCTGATTTTCGGAGCAAAGGGTGGGAAATCGAGAGACACCTCCACGACGCGTTGGCTACGCCGCAGAACCGCTGTAAATCAGCTTTGTGAGTGCACAGCAAAAAGGGGCCTCACGTTGGGTGCTGCCGGGGGGGAAGGAGCCCGACAGGACGGGGATGTCGCTGTGTGGAGCCACGTCGCAGGTAGCGCCCACAGCTGAGCAGGAGGCTCCATCCCAATGTGGAGCTTGGGAAGGGAATTCCTCCCGCTTGGAAGAGGGCTGGTTCCAGCGGGATAGCAGTAACGAAGTTGCCCGACTGCTAAAATTCCGGCCCGAACCTACTTGTAAATCAGAAGTCGTTGTGCTGCCTTGAGAAGGTGAAAGTTATCCAGGATTTGCAGGAGGAAAATGATGGGGTTATGGGAAGTATGGAAATGGGGTGCTAGCGCCAAGGCTTGCAGCATCCCGTGGTAGCTCTGGGTTTAGAAGCTCCTGGACACTTTTGTAGAAATAGGCATTAAATAATGATGGATTGAGGTCTAGAGTAACCTTCTGACTTGAACTTTTCACCACCCGTGGAGTTTCTGTGGAATGGCATAAAGAGCCATTGTAACGTAAAAAGAATGCTTGAAAAGTGCAGGATTTGGGAATTTCTGAATTGAGTTCCCACTGGGAAGTGACTCAGCGAGTAAAATGGGTTCTAATTCTGAAAAATGATGGTGCATCGGACTGCGTGCAAGAGGGACTTTTTTCTCTCCGGGTAATTGTGGTGCCCATCTAAATATTTAATATGGTAGCATAGAAGTAACAAACGAGATAGTCATTACGTATTTATGAATGATAAGCACATTTAAAATTTCCTGACAGTGAGGTAGTAGATTAGTCATTAACATGGCAAAAAGGCCATAATTGGATAAATAATTTCCCCCAAATTTCTGGATTTGGCCAAAAGGAAAGGCTTCCCAAAAACGATCGCAAAACAGAATGAGCTAATCTTGGCTAATATCCTCCTTTTCAACAAAACAACTTCTAATAACAAAATCATGTGTTTCAGTGCTTATTCCAGCGAGAGGCTTCTAATAATCAGTTCCTTTTCAGACCACTGAATAGTCTGCAGCGGCGGAGCCCAGGACGGCAGCTTGTGCCCTGGGGACTCAGCCCTGCAGAGACGGGGACACGGCCAGGTGAGGTGGCCCTGCTGAGTGCTCGGTCGCTGCAGCACCTCGGAGCACCTCAGCTTGATCTGCTGCAGCTCTTGGGGGAACTTTAAATGCCCACAGCACTGTCTGAAACGGAATTACCTCCTATCCTGTAATGTAACTTTGCATTCTTTGAGCTGGTGTGGGGTTGTTGATCTTCACTGACCGTTAAAGACTCCCCAGTTCCACACGTTGTTTAAAAGCATGAAAATTTCTTTTTGTTTCTTTGGGAATTTTGAGAGGAAATCTTGATATCCAAAAAAGAAAAGAAAAAAAAAGACTCGTTTCTTTGAGTCCCAGGCACATCTGTTGAAAAGAGTGTCAGTGCTGCAAAAAGTGGTTTTGCTGTGCAGAACAGACGCCCTGATGTTATTTAACCTTCAGCTGCCAGGCTGGGTGTCGGAGGGTTGTGTTTCCCATGCACAGAAGCTGTCGCCTTTACGCCTTTACGGGTAGCCCCGTTTCCATAAGCTGCCTTTGGCTGTCACACCTTCTCCCGTCATCCCTTGATATGCAAACAAGGCTCCTAGCTGGATCTGCTCTGCCCTATAAACTCCTGTCCCTGGAGAGTTGCTGATTACCCTGCCATTAACTTCCACTCTCCCCCGTCATCCCTGGGGAGGTAACAAGTAGTTTCCTTCATGCTGGGTTTCCAGCTGGTTACGTCTCCAGCTCCTTCCTAAATGGGCTCTCTCGGCTCTTCTCTGCCTCATTGAGGAAAAGCTGACTGCGAAATTTCAGCATTGTCTAAAAACAGAGCAGGGACTCCTAAAATGGAACCTGGGCCACATGAAACGCAGGGGACCCATCCTGCGTCTTCAAGTGGAAACCAGGAAACCTGCACACGAACCTACCTGGAAACCAGGATAACTGCACATGAAATGCGGAGCCTGATGTGGCCGTGTCTGGGAGAAGGGGAAGTGCTGTTTAACAAGCTGAGTCCTCGGCCACGCAGGTGCCAGCCAGGGTTCTGCTGAAGGCTTGGGTGACCTTCCAGACCGCTCTTGTGCTCTCAGATCTAATTAGTGCTGTTCATGAGTGAGTCCTCAACCCCTCGTGGCACTGTGTGTGGCGTCGAACACTGCTCCTGGTGACATCCCTTGTCTCCACCACCTCTCCTCCGTATGGAGCTGCAATCTCTTCCTTCGCAGAGTCTCATGTGCTGCCTCCATCGCTGCTGCACCAAAGTGTTGAACGAGGAAATTGCATCCGTATCCCTAATTCTGCAACCTTCTGCTCCAGCAGTGAGGCTCGTGAGTGCCACCCCAGCGGCATTTGGGCATCTGCAGGGACCGGGTGCCCAGCCTGTTTTGCTGGCCATGGGCAAGGCCCATCCGTGCGGGTTCCAGGCACGCTGTGGATGTCTTGGAACTTCACTGGCCATAGAGATCAGTGCAAAACCAGCCTGCCCTTCCCCTGGTGCACATACCCGCTCCTTTCATTTCCGCCTCAGAATGTGCTTTCTTTTTTTTTAGTGATTGCCTTAAATTGAGCATAAAGCCATGTTTGCTCACTGCTGTCAATATCCTTTGTGAGGAGCAGGCGGCTGGCTCAGCTCCTTTAGAATTATTCAAATTAAAATGATTATTTAGCTGAATAAATGTTTCAAGACAAGTAGCGCATTTCTGCTTTGGGTATTAGCACGTCTAGAAAAATTGCAAATACCAGAGACTGTATTTTTAAAGGCAACATGTAAACTTGCTGTAAATATTTATGTGAGTAATTGGTGGTATCTGGGGAGCAGAGCTGAATCCCCTATTCACATGAACTAGAAGCACAGATGGGGAGTAGTCGCACTAATTGCAAGAACCGGTTAAGTTTGAGGGCACTGAAGAGAAACAAGAAATGAGAATTTGGCCCCAGTTATATGGGGTTCCAGAGCTCATCTGGGCATGAGACTCATCTAATTTCTCTTGCTGCTCTGTGGAAGGTCAGTGATTTTCTTTAACTGCTTGGGAAGATCCATGTGCTTGAGAGATTACAGGTGACATTAGACTCTACCTTTTGCAAATCCTATATGTGTTTGCGTATCTGTATATGCATAGTTTTACCAGCAATTCTCCTGCAGTGTTTAAAGTCCTGTTGTGCCTCTGTCTGGGCTGCTCTGGAGTCTCAAAGGATTAAGGGATGGTGAGATTTTAGCCACACGGTAGCTATCTAGTGTTTATTTAAATTTTGTGTCAAGCAGTTGGTTATATTATTTAAATAGTACAATATAGGATTGTTGAATATTGCTGCTTTAAAAAAATAAAAATAAATGAATGTGACATTGTGAATGCCTTTGTTGTTGCAACTGCGGGTGCCTCCGAGGTTGACAAGAGCAGTGCAGAATTCAACTTATTTTGCTAAGTGTCTGTCTGGAGCCGTCAGATCCGTACAGGTGCGAGTGCCGTAAATGTGGAGCTCTGTCCTGCCGGCCGGGAACCGCTGCCGCAGCGCGGAGGGGCTGCCGGCCAAGGGGGGCCCGAGACCCTGGGGTGCCCCTGGTCTGTGGCAATTAGCAGCAAAAATCTATGTGATGATCGTGCTAATCAGGGAGCCGAGCGATTCCCAAATAGGCTGTAATTAACGGTAGTGATAAACTGACACTAGCGACGCTTACGCTGCTCTTCAG